CTTAGAGCAGGAGCTTATTAACAACTTTATTAACAACTTTAATATAATTTTACTTGTTACTGTGCAATTACATTTGACCTTGCACTTCATTTTATTATTTTATTACTGCTGGAATTGCACTCGTAACAACAGCGTAAATTTTTGGTTTGATATTAAATTATATTTTTTATATTTATATATATTTTTTGAACTAGTTATTGAAATTACTTGCAATTTTGATATAATGTACAATAAGTTTCAATGATTTTATTAGCTTAGAATCATAAATCTTGCTTTTTTATTAATTTTTGTGTTATTGTATTTTAAAAAGTGTTCACAATATTCTGGAAGATCTCTGTAGTTACTTCACTTTTATTTATTTATTTTACTTCTTGTATTTTCAAAAATATATAAATAAAGATGTTATTTGAGTCTTAATTTAACATATTGTAACTGAAAATAAAAATCTCTCCTAACAAAAATCTTCTTTCCTTCAAATATCTTTCACCTTTTATATTTTCTTTATATACTTCAAATCTTATATATAAGTAATCTTATATCTAACAAATTACTGATAGCTTTATATTATATTGTACTAAACAAATCGTTGTTATTGACTTTGAGCTTTATATCATATTGTACTGAATAAATTGCTATTATTGAATTATAAAACATTATATTATAGTATAAACAAATCGCTATATTAAAATTATTGAAATTGAATATTAAATATTTTGATTTTTGTTATTTTGATTATTAATGAATATTTCTTATTTGTAAAAAGAACAAAGTGAAAGAATCTTTATTATTATTATTATTATTATTATTATTACTAATTATATTGTCTTAGCTCTAGAAAATTTTACACAAGTACAGAGAATTAGTCTTTCAAACTCTCTTTATTATTCTTTTATTTTTTTATATTCTTTTTTTTCTTTAACTTTTACTCTTCCATATTATTATTCCCTTTAAACTAAATATAATTTTTATAAAAATTGACATAAATCTTAAATGCTTCTTTTTTCTTTTAATATTAATTTATTACTCTTTTTTAATCCAGATTCAAGTTTGTAAGCTAATTTAATGATTAATAAACAAATTTGTAACAGTATCCAAACCAATATTAATATTATGACTTTTTATTTTTCATTATATTTCAATAATAGTTATATTAGGATTTTTTTTGCAAGCTCCTTTATTTTTTTATCTTGTTTTAGAGTTGTAATTTGCTTCTGGTTCAATTTTAATTCATTACTTAGATTTTTTGTTTTGTTTCATTTTTTGAATATATTAATTACTATATCTTTAACATAACCAATATACTTTGCAGTGATCCCAAGTTCAAGCTTTGGATTTTTGGTACAAGTATTTCATAATGCTTATGTAAGAAAAGAGACATTTTTTAATGTAGAAGTTTGATGTTTATCTATAACATCTGTAGATTATCTGAACCTATAAAAAGTTGTTTATGATTAGCGTTTGTAATGTTCTTTGTGCTCGGAAAATTTCAGAATGTTGCACATGATTTTCGGAAAGTTATTGGGGGTCAGTTACTTTTGCTGCCGACTGTAAGTTGTTACCTACTTATAGCATATAGCAGATAGAAGCATAATGTATCATAAAATTTCGCAAGGAATATTTTTTCATAAGCGATCATATGCAAATAAATATTGTATGATCGAGCAAAGAAGTATGATATGATCGAAAAATTACTACTTTTGTATACAATACTAACTAGCGCTAGCTCAAAAGTAAAGGGAGTGACAAATATTAGCTAATACAGTGGGCGCTCGATACAATAACGTGATCGGGGAAGAGATTTGGTGTTATTATATCGAGATGTTACTCTATCGAAAAAATAAATACTATGAAAGTTTATTACAGTAATGAGATCGGGGGAAGAGATTTTGTGTTAGTATAACGAGATGTTATCTTAAAGAGTAACAAGCGCTCATTGTACTCTGTTTTCATATTTGTGTCAAAGACCACGTGATTCAGCACTGTCCCAAAGCAGATCTGTATGACATCCGAAATCGCTTTATCCAAATCTAATTACCTTTAATCAACCACCATGGGTGTCATGCATATTGGTAGATAATACTAAGTTTATGTTTTAATTCATATTCTAAAATTTAGATATTAATAATAAACCTTTGATTCTCAAAATAAACTTCAAGTTCTTTTCAAAATAAATGTAAGTACTTTGTATTAATGGATAATGTATGCCGATGACATAATTTAATCTATTATTTAATAGATAAACACTTCGGAAGATGCAATCGATAAAGCACTTTCAGAAGCTATTTTACTGAAAGAAAAGATTCCGGGGATTGTGAAAGTATCGGGTGATTATTTTTACTTTAGAGTTTTTTCAATATAATTAGGAAAATTAACGCTTGATTTTTCATTAGCTGGTAAAAATTTTACGGATCGAGCAAAAGGATATGAGTATGGTAAAGAGAGAAAAAATTGATTATTTGAATCATCCGTTCTTTAAATTATTTTTGATTTAATATTTTTCGGTTGACTCTCATCTCTTTAGCTCTAGTCGTAGAGTTATCCTCAAAAGAGGTAAATGTTTAATGGATTAATTAGAGTTTTTTGTTTATCACTTGGTAAAGCTTGAAGGTTATTTTAGGATCTTCGAATTTACTTGGATCATGAGAATCACGTTGAATTTAAGTCAAATTATTTGACGCCAATTATTCAAGGTTTTACTGTTGCATATTTGTGATAATTAAAAGATTATTTTTATTTACTAATTTTTTTTTTATAAATTTTAGATGTTTTGGCTTTTGATTTTGAAAATTAGTTTCTATAACTAAGCTGATAATATTCTAATATATAAACAAACACATATACATGTACATAATATACATATTTTATTAAATCCCGATTAAAATATTTAATTATACAATAGACTTCTGTATTGGTGACTCCGTAATTGAATTTCTTCTACTTTAGCAATTCTTTGTGCAGCAAATACTAATTCTGGATAAGTCCGTAAAATGTCATCCATTGTTTGAATTTTCACGATAGTTTTATCAGTATTATTACTAGAAGCAGAAGTAACCACTTCTTCAAGTATATCATTAATTATTATCGATTTTCCGGATTTCATATCTTCGAACACTCGCCATAACAAAAGAAGTGTTTTTTTCTTTGGGTAGAATGGCTTGACTTTGTTTCGTGCTAATGCCTCATTTTTTCGAGATCTAAGTTCTTCTAATGGTTTCTCATATTCCAGGCGCCAAAACGCAAATTTTGGGTCCCATCCTTGTATTAATCGATCTTTTATTATATTACAAGCTTGTATAATTTTTCGTGAAAGTATTAACATACATACATATTTATTTAAGTTGTCAGAGTCAAATGGAAAGCCTTCAGATTGGAGTTTTTGCCATTCCTTCTCGACAAGGTCATACCTCTTTGATGACATTAACGCATCAAATAAGATTGATATTGCGTGAGGTGGTGGTGTTATAGGATTTGATTTCGGTATAGATTCTAATACCGAAGATCCTTTTATAAGTCTTTCATTTGATGAATCTAATGATATAAGTTTAGATTTAAAATCTGATGATAATGCATGTTTTTCAGATTCAGATTCCAGATCTTTACGCATAGCTTGCCATATATTCCAAACACCTTCATAATCGCCAATAGTACGACATGCATCCATTAAAATTGTGTACGCATGTCCTTGAGGCCGAATTCCCTGAGCAATCATTTCAGCAAATACTTTTTTAGCCTCTTCAAATTGTCCTTGTTTTGCATAAGCGTCCATTAAGGGTGTAAATACATGTGCAGGTAATTGATTTCTCCACTGAATTTCCTCGAACTTTGCAATTCTTTTCGACTGTTCAATAAGCTCTGATAAAAGCTTTCGAGCAAAATCAATTTTACCAATTCGTGCATTTCCGTTAATTAGTATAGCGTAAGTAAAGTGCGTAGGCTCAATTTTTTGTTTAATCATTTCCTCGTAAATCTTAAATACTCGAGTCAAATTTCTCTGTTTGGCATACGCGTTAATTAATATGGTGTAAAGATGAACCTCTGGCTTTACAGTACTTGACTCTTTCATCCTTGCCAACAGTGATTCTGCAGCTTTCAGATTTCCAACTCTACAAAATCCCTCCATTAGACAACTATAGGTATGAGAATTTGGTTTTAAATTCAGTCGAAGCATTTCTTGAAACATCGATTGAACAGAGCCGAAATCATTGCTTTTTGAATAAGCATTCATCATGATATTATAGGTCACTTCATTTGGTTCTATCCCAGAAATTCTCATATCTCGCATGATTTTCTCTGCCCCATTGATATCCTTCGTCCACGCATAAGCTTTAATCAAAGAAGTATACGTGTATACATTTGACCGAATATCAAATGCTTTCATTTCATTAAATAACAAAGTCGCTCCAATAGGATCAGATCTCTCAGCAAAAAGTGATATTAATCCGTTATAAGTGAATTCATTTGGCTCAATTCCAGCGTTCAACATTGTCCGACAAACTTCAAAGGCTTTTGACACATTGTATGTTCGAGAGTATCCTATAGTGAGTAAATTATAGACAGCAACGTTAGGATCGAATCCTCCTTTGACCATTCGATTAAACACTTTTTCCATTGCATCTGTATCATTGACATTGGTGAATAATCTGAGCATTGATGTATATGTATCATAGTCAGGTTCAATCCCGCTTTCTTTCATCCTAGTGATTAATGAAAGTGTTGAATTTACTTTTCCGAGCGTCGAGTACCTATCAATCAATTTATTGAAAAGTTGAATATCTATCTTATATCCTCTCTTCAACATTCGAACCAGGAATTCATAGTTTTTATCCAGACTTAAAGTCGACAAGTGCAAATCACAAATAATTTTGCAAGCTTCCTCATTCAAAGCCAATTTCGAAGAAATCAATTCATCGATCATATCCAATGCTTCTTTTGTTTGATTTTTATCTTTCAGTCCATTAATAATCATTAAATAATCATCAAGTTCTATTTGTATCTTTAATGTTTTCATGTTAAAGTATAGTTCGAGCGCTTCATTTACTAGTCCATTTTTAGTACATTCTATTAAGAATTCTCTTGCTAAATCTGCATTAACAAGCTGTCGCTTCACTAATTGATTAAACCATATTACGGAACCACTATTCGCATTTTTCGTGAAAATTTGTACCAATGTCTTTTTTGTAGTCGAATCACCAGTAATTTCTTTTTTTTTCATCATTTTAAGGATGTCTTCCACTTGATCAAGATTATTTTCTTTTCCATATGCCTCGATCATAAAATTTGCCGCATTACAGGATGGATTCATTCTATAAATTTGGTCGAATATCGCACGCGCATCTTCCAAATCTCCACTGCCTAAATATGCTTCTATTAAAAACGTGTGTTCATCCTGTAGTATGTCGTATCCATGTAATCTCATATGATCGAACATGATTGATAGTTTTTGAATGGCCTCTGCATTAGATTCCTTTCTTAGTATGTGATGCATTAACGCATGAATCTGTTCTCTATTCAAGTTTAATAGTCTTTTACTTGTCACTATTTGCAGATAAGTCGTCCATATCTCTCCGATATTTGCATCGTTATTTTGAAGTTGACGATTTAGAGTTTCCTCGAGCGATAACTTTTTGGTGATTTGATTACTTCCTTCCATTTTATCCTGCTGGAATAACGGTTCATTAGTCTTGCTATTTCTTGATGACTTTGAAGAAAAGCATGCCAAATTATATATTGGCAGATTCATAATCGAAAAAGGTTTCTTATAATTCGCCCCGGAAAGATCCGTTGATAATAAATGACTACTACAAATTGTCAAACGACTTTTTAGCTGCCTTCGTGACAACGATAGTCTATAAAAGTTTAAATCGATCCATAAAAATTGAGCTTTAGACGTTCTGCCGGTTCTCTTGAAGTTATTTTTTCTTCGGTTACCTCTTTGCCATGGTACGAGAATACGTTCAAAAGTTGCAGCAGCACACGTGTTGTTAGGATATGGGTGTTGAGAAAAGTTTCCATAAGAAACTTTTCTGCGTTTATAATCGAGCATATATAAAAAGATATCGGTTGCATTAGAATTACAAGAACCTGTTCGCCATATGTTGGCAAAAGATAGAATAACAGGAGTGTTCCTTGATAGAGAATTCGCGGTCTCACCCAATGCATTATCATTACAAGACCTTTGGTGTAACTTTATCAATAAATTACGATGCTTTATTTGATAGTGTTTACTACTATTGAGTATTCTTTTGAACCCAAAAGTTTTGGGTGATAAGCAAGAAATGTGCATGAGGTGTCTTTATAAATTTTGTAGATGCACATTTCTCGAGTCGCGAAATTTTCTCCTGTAGATCATCAGTTTTTTTCTGATGCCACGTGCGAATTTCATGCGCGTCAAAATCATAATATAAATGCCAACCGTCGTTTCTTCCCATTTCATCGATATTGTTTTTATTTATTGTTCTTTTATAATAATAATGATGATAGTAACAACAGTAGTGAACATGTCTTCTCTAAGTTAATGCATAAAAAAACGCGTAAAAATTTATTATTTTGTCAGTCAAACGCGTCGACATTTTATTCATTCTCATTCAAATTATTCTTGTAATTTTTTCGGACCGAGTTTACTTATTCTAAATAAAATTGGTCATGTTATAAAGGAGATTAAGAGTCACATTGCTCGAAAGCACACATCCCTTCCAGTTTATCTATCCAAGGTCACGCGATTTTCCAAACTAATTAATACATGCCATATTTAAACATTTAAACAATTAATTTTCTAGTAGTGCAAACACATAACAATAGTGCCACCACTTGTGTATGATCGCATAACATGAAAAAATCATTGTTAACCAACAAAGATAATGTTGTATGTTATATGATGTAATCAAATAGATGTCATTACGCGCGTAAAAAAAAGATGGGAAAAAGTTTTAAGTTTTTTTAAGAAGCATTGATGCATTGATTCATAATATCGAAAAGAACGAAGAAAATGTACATCATGCTCTTTAACTTTGTGCGTGTAAATAACATCATTCGCTTTTTTGCTTAGCGTAAAAAAAAAAAAAGGAATATGATGGTTATTCCTTCTCCTTCGATGGATTGTCCGATGGATGGATGGACACATGCACATAGTTAAATTTTCGAATTCACACATTATTTTACGCATTTTCCATCAAATTAAATTGATTACTGAATCAATCAGAACTGATCATATTCAACTTCGATTCGTACGCATGCGATGCTATTGTTCCCTCTTGATTTTTGTAAATAATTAAACTTCAAAAAAAAAGATAATAGCAGATTTACGAATAATAATATTTAAGAGTTAATAATAGAAAACAAAATTAATCAATCAATCAATCACATGGATGCGTATTTCTTTTGTTAATGCGATAAAGAATAGCATAACTTATAATTCTTCGTTCACTGCGTCATCTCTATAATTCATGTTCATAGGAATCAAAAATCGGGATAAGACATTATTGTAAGGAAAAAGATTAAAAAATAGCATTATTCCCGAAAGTATCCCTTCCTTCCTCTTTCTCTGATCTATTTTGTTTGTCTCCGCCACTTTTCCACCATATATCAAAATCAATAGCAATCGATTATATATTTATATATAAATCGATCAATATCTTCACACACTCTAATTCTATTGTGAATGACAATATTTTGCATACAATAAATATCGTCATCAATCGCATCAACAAAAAGAAAGCACTGCGCGCAGCATAAATCCGGTGTGTATATGTGTGTGTGTGTGTGTGTGTGCATACTAAAAAATTATATGTATGTATATATGTGTTTGTTAGATAATGATTTTGATGATTGTTGATGAGCAATGATGGGAATGATGTTGAATAATTAAAAAAAAGTAGCAGTAAATTCATATAATTTCTCCCAACTATTATTATAACTACTACATACACAATTAAACAGCATCAAACATCAATAAATAACACGGGATAAAAACTATTCATTATTGTGGTATTGGTGGTTTGACTTTGCTGGTTGCATGGTTCTCTTTATTAATTGCTGCCCATTTTTCAAGCACACACATTTATACATTCTCACATTTTTTATATCCCTTTCCCCCCTTTTCTACTATTATCTGCCAACAGACAGACAACTCTTAAATAAATACTCTTGCTGCTGTTGTTACGGCTCTCTTAAATTCTTTCTTGCTTTGATTGCTGTTTTTCCCGTCGCTTCTTTTTTGTTCTTTTCCCTCTCGCTCCCAAAATATATCTATATATATATACGCGCGTTTAATCAAAATAATCAGACACTCCCTATATTTGGTTACGTACGCATATATCAAAAATCTTTGAGAGGTGTGTGCATAAATACACACACATTTTCACAAAATCAAAATCAAACGCACGCACACACACACACACACACACACACAAAACTTGCTTTTGACTTTCCACAAACTTTAATTTAAATTAATATGGTAGAAACGGTAGAAGGTAAACTAAATAAACTACCTATCGTAGTACTCCTATTACATAATATAAAATTTATATTCATTAGAAAACAATAAAATATATGTGCTCTTGTAATGCAACCGACTACTTTTTATTACATTTCTGAATTTATTATTCATTTTGTCTTTGTTTTCTTTTTTCCGCTCTTGTAATTACCACAATTAGCAGCGGTTGGTCACTATAACAGCCACTTTCTGAACAACAACGACATCAAAAGCAATCACAGTATTGAAGAAGAAACCGACCAAGGAATGACACCGTTCTCTGCCTTTCGACAAGTAACAAAGAGTAACACTAATGGAGAAAGTAGTCCTATCGGGGGAAGTAGTGTATTTAGCGGCAGTGGTGGCGGAAGTCGTGCTTACTCGTCGTCACCACCACCATCGAGCACCGCCACACCATCATCATTTACGAGTTGCAACGGTTTTGGTATGGAATCACCGCAAAGTTATACGCGACATGTCGTCGGACAAGTTGTTTCGCGCGAAACAGTCACAACTATATATGGGGATCCACCGCAAAATTATTGGGTAAGTTAATTAATTGATTAATGGTGGTGGTTGGTTGGTGTTGTTTATCAAACAAAATTTTCATGTCTATCATATAGCAAAATAGTCAGTCTTTGAAAGTAGTGAAACCAAAAAACGTGGCATTTTGTGTTGCAAATTAACCGTGCGCGCACAACTTTAATTATAATCGAGATTTGCAATTTTGTGCCTGTGTAAATGCAGTGCTTCAAACTTATTTATATGCATTACTTTGTTTGTTAACGAAAAATTTCCTCTTTCTTCTCTTCCTCTTCCTTCGAATATCATTTCTTCTTAATTAGCATCCGCATCAACGTCAACCAGGACAAACATGTTATGTTTGTCGTTGTACAATTAGTGCTGCGGCGGCTCCAGAAACTTTGATCCATTGTTCCTCAAACAATTGCAATATTTGGGCACACCAAGGTAATAATAATAATCGACGACGATTAAACTCTATATATACGCGAAAATATTTCGTCCATTTATATTACATTCCAAATTAAGCAAATAATTACGCTTGATATTTGAATTTTTTTTTTCTCACATTAACACATTTGTCTAATATGTGCCTTTGCATTTTTTTTCCCATACATGCCAATTCTATACATGTTCTTTAACAGATTGCATGCTACGCTATGGACTACTCCACGGCATCAACAACCATCAAACGTGGTTTTGCGTCAGATGTAAATCTATCGAAGATGTCGTAAGCATAAAATAATCACGCTTTTTTGAAAATTTTTGTTTATAAAATGGAAATTGTTTCTCAATACTCAACAGCGTCGCCTACCACCAATCGAACGAGTCTTCGAAGAACCAGTGTCTGCTACAACAACTCCACACAGGGCAGCAGCAGCTAGCAGTACTCCGTCTTCACATTTGCAAGCATTTAAAGGGTTTCCGCATTCTTCATTGCCGCCAATCATAACACCAACAACCCCACCAACTAATTGTAGTGCGGGTAATGAGAAACGTGTAAACCCTTTGCATTTACTATTGGCAGCTTCGGACCAGATAGTAAGTTTCTTTTTGTCCTTTTCCTACCTATTCTTAACATGATAATGTAATACTGACCTCCTTTCGAATTAGGAAAGCACCGACCCTTTGCCTTCTATTTCTTCCTTTCCAAGACACCAAGAATATATTAAACAGCAGCAACAGCAAGCTTCATATTCAACTCCGATCTATTCACGAGAAAATTATCATTCTTATAAATATTCCGGAATAAACAACATACAATTCTATTCTCCTTTGCCTGCTGTCGTTCCTTCTACCTCGGAGAAAACAACCACAAGAGGCAACAATATTTATAATAATAGCAATAATATTATTAATAAAGGTAAAAAAGCCATGAATCATAACAGCAGTAACGTGGACATAATGAAGAGATTCGAGAGAGAATACTCGGCTTATGATCAAGGTAAATAAAATTATGCAATAAAAATATACAATATACCATAACAATTTTTAAAATGTGTTAACCCCTTCATCATAGAACGCATTCTTAAAATACGACATCTAAAACGTTCAAGATCACGTCAATCACAAGTTCTTGGCGCATTAAATGAGTCACTAAACAAATACTTACTAGAGCAATCAAGAGTCGTCACGACCTACAACACCCTCCACGAAAATAACCAACGACTTAATACCGCGCTGAGAAAACTAAAATCTGCTTTAGTCGCTCTGGCGAAAGAGAAACCGGTATTACGCGTCTTACGGAAGATAAGCAGGAATGATAATCTCCAAGAAAAAGATTTAGACGAAGAACGCGTAGTGAATTTGTTTATGCAGATTGGACCTCAGTATAAACTTGAATACGAGGATGGAACGATTGGTGAATACATTGATAATGAGGAAGACGACGACGACGACAATAACATCAATAATAACAATATGATGATGATTGATTATGATCTCAATAATCATCAGAGTATGGATGACGATGCTTCGTCGAATTCTAGTTATCGCACGCCCGATTTATCACCAGCATCTTCAGTCTCATCTTCTGGCTCTGTGGAAAACTACCCTTCTTCTATATTATGTTACAAATGCGAAAGACAACTGGATGACGATTTCGTTACTTGCACAGAATGTCGCCAACCTTTCCATATTCATTGTTTTCGAACCTCAAAGAAATCATCATCACCAAATTTAGAATCATCATTGACTGGCTCGAGCGTGTGTGCCATTTGTTCGCCTACTCCCCTTTCCTCGTCGACGACCAAGCGTAAGAATATCGAACAGGAAACTCCCTCGACACCTGCACTACGCTCCGGCAAAAAACGTCAAAAAATTACAAAAACGCGTCGTCAACAAACAAAAACAAATGTCGTGTCCAATGGTGATGCTGAAGAAGATAACCGCGTTTCAGATCCTCAGAGTTCAAATAACGTGCAGTTGACAAACGGACGGAAGAGTAACAATAGCAATAATCATAATATAAACTTGCTATTAGAATCCAAGAAAGAAGGTGCCGAAGAGATTTCGCATGAAAATAGTAGCCCTATCGCCGAAAGCCAGGACACAAGAAGAGACTACGATAATCTCTCGATTAACGAAAGTTTCGACAACAATGTGTCATCACCTCTTCCAGCGACACCATCAACAACCACCTCGACATCAACAGATTACGGCCCAGATGCTACCCGACAGCCAGCAAGATTCGAAGGTGACATGTAAGTAAATTACTATTAAAAAGTTAATAAAATTCCCTTGTCGACGTTGTGATATCAATTATTGCTAATATGCAAATAATATGATGTTAATACGATATCAATAATAATCGCTTTTGAAACTAAGTAATGTTTTTCTCTTGGAATAATAGTAAGTAAATAAATATTTCTTTTGTGTTATGTTTTTCTCTAGGTACACGCCTCGTTGGGTACGTGGAGTTGGCAAATCAAAGGAAGGACTGTGCCCTCATTGTAATCCTCCTCGTTGGTTAAAGACAAAAATTTCGGCTTATTGGTAAGGAAAAAGAAAGATTTCCAAAAATATCATAAGAAAATACGAAAAATTTTGTACACTTACCGCTTATTTATATGTGATAGGTATCACCTGAACTACCAACATGGAATCTCATCGATAACGGGTCGACCATTCGCTGCTCCGCTGCAAGAGCGTGAGAATAAAAAATCGGGTATGAAAGAAGCGCTATGCCATAATTGCAACAAATGGATATTGAATCAGTCGCCGAGGGATAAAGAGGTTTTGGTACCAGAGATTTACTGGTAAATTTCTTTCTTGTTGCTCGATTTATCTTCTGTGGAATTTGGCTCTAAGTTTCTTTTTTAAAAAAGGTACAAACACGCACAAAAGTGTCACAATTCGCTATAGAAAAAAACCGTGTGTGCTGTCACCGTTTTATAACGACACGAGAAATAGTTGCTCTCTTTTTTTATACTCACTGCCTCTTCACACTCGCTTGAGTGAATTGATAAATATATGCGCGGACATTACTACTAGTTATCAAAAGAACATTTTATTTCCTTTTTTGTTTCTAAATTTCAAATTTCTTTTAAAGCACGAACATTGGAAAAAATTTCTTAGCGAATAATACAATATGGATACTTTGTAGCATGTATGACTGGCTTAACGCTACGGCGGCTGTTTATTGATTTTAGTAGTATTACTGAATTATAGTATTGGGTGTTTTATATTTGTTTTTTCTCTTTTTCCCTTTTTTTTTTTTTTGAATAAAAAAAATGTTACGTAACAAATTTCGTCCTACTGAAATTTATTATCGATATCGATATAGTATGCTCTTTTTTGGGTATAATGTGAAACAAAAAACTCGAATTCATAAAATTCACATTTCTGTTTTGTAGATGTTTACATAATATTACATATTGAACAAATTAAACAACATTTTTATCAGACTGCGGTAGTCGATTTCTACGATCCAACCAAACCCTAAATCCCGTAGTTGCCGAAAAGCCATACGCAAAAATAGCAACAAACGCAAAGAATTCGGTCGCTTTGGGGTTACTACAGATCGGCCTTTCCCAACCATTTAATTTACCACAATCCTGGTCAGAGGGAGTATTAATCGCCCCAAACACCACGTAAGTCAAATACGCACATGCCCAAATGGAAGACGTCAACCCTTCCAGCAACGCATATTTTATGTTCGCATCGATGATAAAAATTGTCGAGATTACTGTGCCCACGCAAGAGACCACTAGTCCGTAAGTGACCCAGTTTGGAACGTCGCCGTAGAGGTGTTTGTGGCCGCCTGCGGTGTAGCCTAATGTACCAACTGCTATTATTCCGCAAACGATTTCAAAGAAACGTACTCCGAATACGAACTTTTTTGATGGTTGATATTGGTCTAGTGATGATTTTGGGAAGTATGAAAGATCGTGTGTTTCTTGAGTTTCCGTTTTTTCTTGGGGTTCCATTATTTTATTTTGTATTATTTTTTGTTGTTATTTTTGACGATATTTTATGACCGAGCCAAAAAATTAATAATTTTAGAATATTTAAATAATAATATTTAAGGATTCAATCATCAGACATTACAAAAAAATAAATATCGATGCTTTTTCTTGTTCCCACAGGTCATTTATATATATAGGGTAGCGCACAAATTTGAATATATTGTCTGTTAGATTATATAATCTGGGGAGACAGGTTTCCGGGTTCGTGATTGATCAGCGAATAGCGAAAACCACCAAAGTTCTGCTAAGATTCCTATTTCGTTCGGAAAATACTCATTGCATTGCGAACCGAATAGTTTATATATTTAAGGAAGTACATCTTTTAATGGCTTAATAAGCAAAATACATCTTGATCTCGTGGTTAAGTTAATATCGAATCTTCCTCTTCATTCTTTCAAAGAACGCGAGCAAGATCAAATAATGGTGGGATCATCGTACATGTTTTAAATAAAGTTATGCATTATCGTTATTATCTGATATTTTAATTGATCAACCTGAAAATGCGTGTGTGTAACAAAATCAAAATTCTTGGCAAAAAGTCTTGGCGAAAAGTGGATTGCCGGGCAGCACAAGTTAATAAGGGAGCGTAAATTTTAATTAGTGCTCCACAATAGACTGGCATTTTCTTTTACTGGATCTGTTTTGCCGGATTGATAAAAAATGTCGAGGTGATTTTACATGTATTTGTCACGTGCTTTGTCTCACAATTAATGCGTTTTCCGAGCAGTCACGTGTAAATACACCAATCAAATTGTAAAGATCAAGTGTAACATATAAATATTATAATATAAATGGGTAGCTAAAGCCTGGTGGACATGTGATACGTGTGTTTATCACAGTGTTAAAGGTTGATTTATTGGTGTTGGCGTTAGAGTGGAGGGCTAGAGTATATGTGAAATTGCCTCCCGATGTTTTTAATTAGTGCTCTATGTTCTAGTACCCTAGCCATGGCGAAAAAAAGTGTAGGGTCATGTGATTCCCGACCTTCGACATTAAGCCATGTGATTTCGATCCCAATGCCGACCATCCGATAATCCCTTAAAATCATGCACCAATTAAATCGCAAGATCAATGTGTAACGCAAACGCTTATTTTGAAAAATAGCTTGAACAAGTGACTCGTTATAGTAAAGGCATCCGTACCATTAGTAAAAAATCTTCAAAAATTTACTATAACGAGAGGATTTATTATAGACTGGTTTTGGACGAACTTTGCTATATCAAGAGTTTAATTAGTCTTAACTATTGGCTCGTACAGCGAATTTTTTATACAAATTTTAATTTGTTATTAAAAAACAATAAATTACTTTTTTATTTGAATCGCTTCATTTTTATATTATTCATAACATGAAATTCAAACTAATGAGGAGTTTTTGAAAATCTAATAAGAGATTCAAGAGAAATAAGAGTTTAAAGTGATGGTTTATATATATTTTATATTTTGTATGTCACAAATCATATATAATTTTGAGTGAGATATAGTGCTTACAACCTAGTCATATCAAATCACATGATCTAAGTCTCAAATTTTAAAAGTTGATCATTTCTATTTAAGTTATTATATGCATAAAAAATAACAATGCATTTTTGCATGATGAAGTTCAGCCAATTAAAAATAGTTATCAAAATAATCATGTGACTTATAACATGTCTCAAATTCACAATAACATATAAAAAGTGACAAAATTTGAATGAATATTACTATATGAAAAATTAAGAAAACTGAAATTGGCTTTCATAAAATGAAAGTTAATAACCTATTCTATTAATTTATGAAGAGTTATATATTTTGTAAAAATGTGAAAAGATTTAAAGTTGATTAAAATTTTATTGATATAACTAGCGTCGCAAACAAAAATTCGTGTTCACGTGAGCATAATATGGCGTAATCCAATAAGAACGTGGTGCAAACCAACAAGAATGCGCAAATTTTTGACAAAACAAATCTGATACAAGAAAATGAAAAAAGCGAATAATGTAAAAAATATGGAAAACAGATATCGAAATTTGGCTTGAAGTATTAATAAAAAATGTTAGGAAGACAATTTTACGCATAATCTTCTCCTCCACTCTAATCCTTACCCTAACCCGAACGATAAAATAGCCTTTAACGTTAATTTTCCGTGATCATGTGAGCGTGAATTTTTGTTGACGAAGCTGGTGAAGTTAAATTTGTCACCATGATCACATGATTCACATATTATCAACTCCATTAATATCAATACCTCATTGTTAGCAACATTTGTTATGGAACATATTTCACTTTAATTAGAAAAACACATATAACAATCCCGTTGATATCAACCCTCTTATATATCAACAAAATAGTCCAGTCCCGTGAGGTTGATAATAACGAGGGCAGACTGTAATTATAAATTTGATTCAATATTGCTGTACGAGCCAATATAACGAGTTTACTATAACGAGAGTCACTTGTATCTTGAAATTTTACATATTAAACATTTGTGTTCTAACAAAAAAATGTGTATGCTATATGCTATACAATAACTTTAACCTCAAACCTAACATTATATATTATAAGGAGGATGTCGGAGGTCGGTGTCAGATCGGGAATCACATGACCCGACATTTTTTTTCGCCATGGCTAGGGTCAAGGCTGTCTTTTAGACAATTAGGTATTTCCGGGTTGATCAACCCCTTACATATACATGTAAAATGGGATACCCTAGCCATGGCGAAAAAAAAGTTACGGGTCATGTGATATCCGGTATGTCCGGAAAAATTCTACGGTAATAGAG